TGTTAGGTATTTTTTAGTCAGATAGAAATTGGTTAGATACTTGTTGTATTAGAAATGTTTAGTGGAGACAGGATGTTTAGTTTAAACGCTTAGTCATTGTCATGAGATTTTAGCAGGGTGTACGTGGGCAAGGATAACTAGATAGAAAAGTTTGATTGTCAGCAGGAAGGATGATTATTGTTATTATTATGATATGTTTAGCCGTAATCTTAATCATAATATCGTCCTAGGCTTAATGTCAGGTCATGTCCCTGAATGTCCTGTATGTTCTTAGATACAGACCACTTAATCAACGCTCACACACATTGATTTTCTCCATGTTTTGACTACTGCTGCGGTCAGCTGTGAAGCTGGCATATCAGGTGACGCCACGGTTTGACGTCGCTGTGTAGAATGGGGTTAGCCCAAACCAGATATAGTCTCTCTGAGTTCCTGGTTAAAAGAGATGGAAAAAAGCTTTCAGTCTGTACACCACATGGACAGCTGTTCCACCTTGTCCCAGTATGCAGACTCATCCCGCCAGAGATGAGCCCCACAACAGTAGTGTCAGTGCAGTTGTGGGTGTAGAGGGTATAGAGTAGGGGGCTCAGCACACATTCCTCTGGGGAGCTAGTAGTGAGGCTGTGGGCTGAGGCGATGTGGGGGCCAACTCTGACTGCCTGGGAGCAAGCCGCAAGGAAGTCCTTTATCCAGAAGAAGATGGAGCAGGATAGTCCCAGGTCTGCCAGTTTGGTTACCAGTCTGTGGGGAAGGACGGTGTTAAGTGCAGAGCTAAACTCTACAAAGAGCAGATTAACATACTGTAGCTCCCCTGCTGCTCCATGGGATCCTCTCTAGATCTGTTAGTGCTGTATGCAAGCTAGTGTGTTGTGAATATGGGTGGGAGGCAGGTGATCATATGACTCCAGACCAGTGTCTCAAAGCACCTCATGATAATGGGTGTCACTGGGCGGGAGTCTTAAGCTGCTGACGGTGGCCTTTTTTGGTAGTGTGACAAAGTGGGTGAGAACACTCCACTTGTCCCTAAGTTAAGTCATGTATGTTTCTTAATGTGTGTTAAATGTTTGATTGTATTTACTAGGTGGATATAGGATAGAGGAGGAGGTGGTTAATCACTTCCTCATTCTGTACGCTCTCTGATGTCATCAAGGATGTCATAGGGTTGATTGATATCAGGGGCTACTTAATCAGCTGAGGTGGAGCAGCTGGAGGGTGGCGGTCTAGGTGTAGCTGTGTGCACGTGCCTTGTAAGTTGCGTTGAGTTATTTTGAGTAGAGTTTTCTTCAGTTATGTGAAGTTAAACCATTTAGTTTGCTTAGTGATCTTGTTTGGCATGTGTACTTTGCTGGCACTTGTTTAAAATAAATTATTGATTTGAGAAAACCTGATGTATTTTTCGAGTCTGTCTCCTACATTCCTGGCCGCTCAGAGTCAACCTACCACAGGTAGTGAAACTATGGTTGAGGACTTCAGGCAGGGTGGGATGGTGGACAGGTATAGTGACTGGTTGAAGATCTTAGTACCCCTCCAGTGACGTCACCGGGTCCTGCAGCCTTCCTCTGGTTCACTGCCCTCAGCCTCACCTCATGCTCCTCCACAGTGAGGATATGGCTGCTGTGGGCTGGTGGGTTTAATATGGCTGCCTCAGTTGACTCCACCTCCAAGTGGCCAAAGAAATGGTCCAGTTCCTCTGCCAGCAATGTGTCACCGTCGGAGGCTGAAAGGTTGCTGGGACTCTGGTTGGTGATGTGGTGAACTCCCTTCCACACCCACCTTATGTTGTTTCAGTAAATGTGGTCCTCAGTTTCTCTCCTATAAGCATCCTTAGCCTCTCTGATGCCTCTTTTCAGGTGGGCTCTGACAGCGCTGTGTTTTGCCCCATCACCAGACCTGAAAACGGTGTTCCTGTCCCTGAGCAGGCACTGGACTTCTCCTGTCATCTAGGGCTTCTGGTTGGGATAAACCATGATGCACTTGTCCACATGTCCATGCAGTACTTAATGTAGGCCAGGACAGCTGCAGTGTATAAGTCCTGGTGTTCAAAAACATCCCAGTGTGTACTATTAAAGCAGCCCTGCAGCTGATGAGAGGCATCTTCAGGCCATATTTTAACAATCCTAGATGTGATAAGAGCACTTTTCCTGAGGGGGGGATGTGCCGGAATTAGGAGCAAGGACGTTGTCAGACTGGCCCGGGTGTTGTAGTGGTTTAGCCCTGTAGCTGTATTTAACATTAGAATAAACCAGTAAACCTTCACAACAGTACCATAGCTGTCGCTGCTCAGTGTTATATAATGTAAAGGTTATGGTGGCAGCCTCTGTCACCATATACCCGTTATATTACATAACTCACCACATTGTACATCTTATCACATTTTGGTTACTGAATGTGCACAATGGGTACAGCTATGCCTGCTAAGTAGAGCTAGGTAGCTGGCATGCTAGCAGGTCATCACATCTCCCAGAACATCAGAGCAAATTTCTAAGTTGGCATTACTTGGACAGACTGAACACATGCAGTATTTTAAAACTAGGTGGTTGTTTTCTCACTTGAAAAATATCAAAACTTAATAAAGTGGCATAATGACAGTCCTAGGATAAAAACAATCTGAGCCTGCGCTTAACCTGCCCTGCCACCACCATCGGAAGATGGGATAGCATAGTGTCCATCACTTCACACTACAAAGTGTGTACGTAGGTCATCCGGGTGCTACTAGCATACATATTTTTCCATACTAAGAATTCAGACATATGTCTTGTCTTGTATACACATTTTAGCCTACTACGTAGTAGGCTAGTAGGCCATTTCGGACATACCCGTAGACATACCGTGACACCAGCAGGTTCAGGTCTGTTCCAGCATGCACTGCAGGGAGGAGGGGTTCATCTCCACACTCACCACACATGTCCAACATGGACACACGAATCACAAGTTAGAGGTGTGTCACTGTCAACAACTCTGATCACATGCATGTCACCACCTGAACATGACATCATCACTGAGGTGTTAAAAACACATCAGCGTTCACAGTGACGTGTTGCTGCTCACCTGATTTATCATGAAGCTGAGCTGCTGGTTGATGGAGATTTAGGTGCAGGTTGAGTTGCTGATGTCTCTCTCTGAAGCAGCAAAGTGATTATTAACCAGCAACAGTTCCGGTTGTTAGTTGCTCTTCATGTAGCTGCTGACATCTTGGTTGCTGTAGTTTCCCTCAGGTTGAAGCAACATGGTGGTTATTAAACATCAACAGTTTCTTTCCAAGTTGCTGGAAGTTATGTTGCCATTTAGTTTAGTTGTTTTAGTCCTTACTGAAGCTTTATGACTGATGCAATGCAGTGTTTCTTTGTCTGTTTGTTGCTTCTCTTCTCTCTCTCCTCTATCCACTCACCCCAACTGGTCGAGGCAGAAGGCCGCCCACCAAGAGCCGGGGTCTGTCGGAGGTTTCTTTTGTTTTGGGGAGTTTTTCCTCCCCACTGTCGCCAAGTGCTGCTCAAGGGGGTTTTCTCTATTATACTAGATAAATTGCCCTCAGACGATTGATGTTGTGATTTCACGTTATAAGAACTGAACTGAACTGAATTTAACTGGTTATCACAGCTCAGCTGTCTAGTTGCTGTATTTTCCCTCTAGGCTGAATCAACATTGCAGTGGAGCAACCAAGTTGCCATGTTGCTTTCCATTCTGCTCTCTAGTTGCTGTGGCTCACGTTGCTCTAGAGGCTGTCATCTGTCAGACTGAAGCATCAACAGTTTATTTACCAGTTGCTGGAGGCGCAGTTACCTTACATGCTGCTCGTTTGGTGGCTGTTTGCTGGAGGTCTGCAGTCCATGTCAGACTGAAGCAACACTGCAGTCAGGTTGCTGTGGATGTAGTTGTGGCTCGGTCCTGTCAGGCTGAAGCAATACTGCGGTGGCAGAATGTTAATGCACTGGTTACTGTAGTTACCCGCCGTCGGTCTCGTTAACGGTCCGTGGTCATGTCGCGCCTCTCACTTACTTCAACAGAAAACTAACGGGCTAACGGAGCTCCGTCAGTTGTCGGTCTGTTGCTGGTCGTTGTCCGGGGCTGGTCTCGTCGTCGGTGACTCACCGTCTCCTCCGTCTTACTGAAGCGCGCGGCCGGCGGCGGGAGCCCGGGTTACCATGACAACTGGCCCGCAGCAGGATGACGGGACCGACCAACTGATGATCAGCAGTAGAGAGGATCGATAACCTGGTCAGTCAATAAACACACATTATTAAACTAGGACCGTTCAGTTGATCAGTGCCCTCACTGCGCTGCTGTTTAATCGGCTTATCAATAGGTTTCTGTCAGTCTACGACACGTGATCAGACTGTAGGGCATCACGTTTTATTAAATTATTGATCATATGATCAGGTGACACGACAATCAAGCGTCATGCGTCAGGGCTGAGCTTGTGTGGAGAAGTGTTCCCCGTGGAGATGTGTCCCCTGTTCAAAGCTCGGTCTCTGGTAGCGCCCCCACCCGTCGTTTAGATGAGAGGAAACACATTTCGACACAACACCGGAACCAGGATTTACCACCACTCAGTCTTTCTCACTTTTTAAAAATTTCGGTTAATCACAAATTTTCATCAATAATTAGTTTTTCTTTATTTCAGTAGCACTTTTTTAAACTGTCAGTTTTTATTAAAATGGCAAATTTAAAGGTGACTAATGTTTTTTCTCATCATTTAAGTTCAAACTAAAACTGTAATAAATGTTCAGTTTGTTTCAGATTCGCCTGCAACACGAAATATAAGAACAGACCTGACTAAGAAGGGAAGGAACAGAAAACATATCAGTGAAAGGTAGATTTTAATTTGTCACATGATGAGTTCAAACCTTTCAAACTGGACCTGACAACAAAGCGTTCATCGTGTGTGTACTGACACAGATCTACAAATGCTCACACTAAACATGAAGAAGACAGTGTATTTATTGTAATTATTTTAATGTCTTTATCTGTGGAGAGATGAAACTAAGATTTTTGAAATAAACACCAGAACAAGTCATCTACTAATTGGTTAGAGTTTCCTCTAAGTCGTACACTGTCAGAAAGACTCAGCCATTTACTCTCTCACATTTTGTTTCTGTATCAGTTTGTGAGATCAACTTTTCATTTGTAGTAAACTGCTGTCAGATTTCAGGACATGGTCTGTGCTCAGACTGTTTAATGATCTCACCTGCACTGTGTTGTAAACAGCTGCTGATGAGGGTCCCTGAACGCACCGTCACGTATGGTCTGACTTGGGGATCTGGCTCAGACTGGAGTCCTTCCTGGTCTCAGTGTGAGCAGAGACAGAGACGGATGTTATATGGGCCAAACTTGTTTACCAGTGATGCTGTCAACATCGAGCACTTTGATGTCGACAGCTTGTGGAACTACAGTCACACACATGACAAAGAACCTCCCACCCCACTGTGTTATTTATCTGTGTTCAGGATGTAATTTAATTAGTATTTGCTCTGTGCCCATCCAGTAGGCTACATATTCTTATGACTTCACTGCCCCATTTAAAACATTTGTTAGAAAGGTAATCCAGACTAAATGTAATAAGTTACATTACTTTAATGAGGTAATTAAAATAGTTACTTGTTACATTTTTTACAGGATTAGTAATCTGTCACTTATTACATTCCAGAAGTAACCTTCCCAACACTGGTTAAAAGAGCACAAAAACATGAAAATGTACAAATGTAAAAGGGGGAAAACGTGAAAAAGAAATGAAATCATTAAATTATAAACATAGAAAATGAAATGGAGTTGAGATGGCTTTAAAGGTTTTTAGATTCTACCGAAACAAGACGACAGAGAAACCTTCTGCAAGTGGGACCAAATGGTAAATGTGAGGTGAACTGAATGATCAATAAATGAGACAATATCTCAGATTTTGTATGAATTCGCTGCACTTTGTCAAGTTTTAATATGAATATCTTTCACTTTATTTGATTAGAAAACTTGACTGGTGTTGGTGAACGTTCACAGAGTCTGAGATGCCTGCTCACCAACTGTCACATAAAGACTGAATGACTAAAGTAAAAACACCAATGACATAAGATTTATTACAAGACTGATGCTGGCGATACTTTCCACTGCTGTCACATTCATGTAGTGCAGTAAAAAGTCCAGCACTTCCCTCTGAAATGTAGTACAAACTAACATAGCATTGAAACACACAAGTAATGCACAAATAAGCCTACCTCAAAATAAGCTACAGTACTTGAGTAAATATACATAGGAACTCTTTGTGATGTTGAAGCTGAGTGAAACTATGAGGCCTGTGAAAGCTGCAAGATTAAAGCCACATGCTGACTTGTCATATGGTGAAGGACATACAGGCTGAAGTCTCTTTAGAAAGTAGGAGATTTATGTCACCACACCAGTGTCAGGGGAAGAGTGATTAGAGATCTGACTGGGTTTGGAAAGAAGAATGAATTATTTACTTACATGGGGAGAGGACTGTTTATTCAAAATAAGAAATACGGATATCAGGCTGAAAATCACAGGGAAGAGTTATAAGTCTGTTGTCCACAGTTACATCAGACATTCAGACATGAGCAGAGAGGGAGCAACATGCAGGACCCTGTCACAACTGGTGTTGTTATGGGTCTTAAGGTTTCTGCTGAATATTCAAAGATGTATTTATAAAACCTGAGAGGAACAAAGGATGTGTGGAGAAAACTAGAAGAGGTATTTCTGATAGCTGGGAGTGTGTTTGATGATAGGATGAAGGATCACTTAGAAAATATTCAGAAAATGTACAAAAGGGGACAAATGCCACAGAAGAATGCAACGGGCTCAACACCTGGAAGACTGTGCAGCTGCACCTTTACACATTGAATGGGAGACTCATTTGTATATTTTTATTTACAAGGCTATATTTTAGACCAGCTGCCCCCATATGTTAGCAAATTTATTTCACTGAACTCATTTTCACTCTCAGTCTCAGATCACAGATATATCCGCTGTGTGTTGCAGTGTTCATTCAGAGAAAGGAAAAATCTTCATGTTTTCTGCTGCAGCCACCTGGAACAGTCTGCAGGGGGAACTAAATTGGTGTACCTGGTGTCATTTACAGAATTTAAAATTACTGTAAACTCACTGATGAATTATTCCTTTCCTGCTTGTTTGTCACTCTTTTAATTCTTGATGCTGATCATGTTTTATTGTCTTGGTAGATTATGCATATTGTTGTCCATCCTACTCTTGTATGTGTTTTTGTCTGGAACCTGTGATGCTGCAGTGTTGGCCAGGGCTGCATGTGAAAGTTTCTAACCTCAGTGGGATCAATCCTGGTTAAATATTGTGTGTAAATCTAGAGGAACATCCAAAAGACTCTAGCATGATGCATCTTTAGGCTGCAGTTTTATCTGGGCAGGTAACAAACAGGAAGCTCCATTACCAGTCACTCAGCTTGGTTGTTTCTGGGAGTAGCTCTTGACTTTAGAGTCCTTGATCAAGTACAGGCCAAAAAGATCAATCCTGGGCAGGGAAAGTACAGAAAACAGTAAAAACAGAGTATTTCACAGCAGTTCCAGTATTCACAGATGGATCAAACCCAAGACCCCGGTACTGAGAGAACCTGATTTTCATTTATTATCATGAACGTTAGCGTTAAAAAAAAAAGAACTGCAGTGATCTGTTAGCATCCGCAATAGGTAGAGGGAATGGCACGAAGGTTAGAGATTTATTAATGAGCTACAAATTCTATAGAGTCATACACGGCAGAGTTTCGGGTCAGGTTCTGTAGTTCATTTAGCACGAAGAGGGGGAAGAAGCAGATAAAAAAAAAAGCAAAAGATGGTCTAAAACAGAAAGCATAGGCTAGTAGAAATATCAGTGAGTGAGACAGAGGAGAAATCATTAATACTGTCAGCAGGACTGGAACACAGGTACATCACAGGAGGGGAGGAAAAATTACTAGGTGAAGATTTAGTGGAAAGCATCCACCTTCCAATCAGAGATTCTGCACCAGGTTTTATTCCACTGTGACACATATTCTGAAGCAAAACAGACTGCAGTCAGAAAGTGCAGGAATAAGAAAATAAACCACAGAGTAGTGTTAAACTACTGCCAACTGTAACAGGGAGCAAAACTCTTCTAGAATAAGCAAATTATTGGAAAAAGAAGACGAGTACGTAAAGCGCCAAACCTACGGTAGAAAGAAAGGGAACCGCTAATGTTTCTTTGTTCAGGTAGGATTAATTCCGCTGCCGCACGCCGTCCATTCTACGTCACTTCCTGTGAATCTTTGATAAAGGAGAGCCTGGCGGGACTTCCGTGGCTCAATTTTTTTTTGGTTTTGTTTGGTGAATCCGACGGTGATCGGAACCATCGGAACGGAGACATGGTGAGTGTTTAGAGGGCAGATAGTCCACATTCTGTTCGCAACGGGGCTGTCCGTATTTGACCGGTTTACGGTTTTATTGTAACGATGGCGGGAGTTCGAATGAACGTCGAATGAACGTCTGTGAGGAGCCTAAGCTCCGCGCGGGGTCGGGCAGTTTGCATTCATCACTCAGTTCATATTCTTTAATATTAATCTTACAGTCAAAATTGAATTGTACATATCTTATAGTTTTGACTGGTCGTAAACACACTGTAGATATCTATAATAAGAATTAACTGCTAAAATGGTGCAGTGATGTCATTTCAGGTATCCAAAAGAAACTGTGCCTAGTCGAAATGTAATTGCAGAAATCTGAAAATGTCGTTCTTACTGGTCTGGATACAACTGTAGATATCTAGAATTATTATTTTGACTAGTCACACTGTAATTTCAGCTAATCAATATGGCGTTTTAGATATCCGAAATGCAATTATGGATATTCAAGTGAAAGCTTTTAGAGAGTGAGAAGATTCCTGAGGAATGGAGGAGAAGTGTACTAGTGCTGATCTTTAAGAACAAGGGTGATGTGCAGAGTTGTAGCAACTACAGAGGTATAAAGTTGATGAGCCACACAATGAAGCTATGGGAAAGAGCAGTGGAAGCTAGGCTAAGAAAGGAAGTGGATATCTGTGAGCAGCAGTATGGCTTCATGCCCAGAAAGAGCACTACTGATGCAATGTTTGCTCTGAGAATGTTAATGGAGAAGTATAGAGATGGTTGGAAGGAGCTGCATTGGGTCTTTGTGGATTTAGAGAAAGCGTACGACAGAGTGCCGAGAGAGGAGCTATGGTACTGTATGAGGATGTCAGGAGTGGCAGAGAAGTACGTCAGAGTAGTTCAGGATATGTATGAGAGGAGTACGACAGTAGTGAGATGTGCTGTAGGTCAGACAGAGGAGTTCAAGGTGGAGGTGGGGCTACATCAAGGATCGGCTTTGAGTCCCTTCTTGTTTGCTATGGTGATGGACAGGTTGACAGATGAGGTCAGACAGGAATCTCCATGGACAATGATGTTTGCGGATGACATTGTGATCTGTAGTGAGAGCAGAGAGCAGGTGGAGGAACACCTGGAAAGGTGGAGGTCTGCTCTGGAAAGAAGAGGAATGAAAGTCAGTCATGGTAAGACAGAATACATGTAATGTTAGAGGGAATTGTTATAAGGCTGGAGAAGTTACTGGGTCTGCATTATGCCAGTTAAAACATGGGGTTTCTCAGTTACCCACTTTGTTTAGAGTGTTACACATCTCTTCATCGGTACATGTACCATTGTTTAACTATCTATGGAGGAGAAATTCATATTACTTAATGCTGTTGCGGTTCGTTGCACTGTCCACTTGGGACACAACACCAGCATTAGGAGTTGTGCGCGTTCACGAACTATCCTCTAGTTTTTAGGAAGAGGCCCTCTGGTTTTATCATTGTGAAATAACTGCAGACTATTTGGGGTTATGAGGGGTGCCACGATAATCTAGAGGTACCCAAGATTAAATGTTAAATGGCTGGAAATGAGCAAAATGAGTAGCCATGGGAACTTTAATAAAAGGAATAACTAAGAGAAAGAAAAGAGTTTCAATTTATTAAAGGGTATGATCCCGACCAGGGACTACATGGATTCGGGGCAGAACCCAACTCTTGACTGTGACAAATGTTTCTGGCAGGATAATGATGCCACAATAATGCCTGTCTCTGATTGGTCGGCAGACGGTGGGTAAGAGTAGTAAGATGCTGCAGCACATTGACTTCAGGATGAGGTGCATCCTGCAGGACGGGCGGATTTTCATTGGCACCTTCAAAGCCTTTGACAAACACATGAACCTGATCCTCTGCGACTGCGACGAGTTCAGGAAAATCAAGTAGGTTTAACCTGCAGCCTGCACCTGATTAGTGATTAAACTGTGGTCTTCAGTCTTTGCTCTATTTATTTGTTGTCCCTTACCAGTCTTCAGATGTCTCACTTTGTTTAATGCATCAAACGGTGCACCTGGAACCAGTTCGTTTTTTTCACTCCATTTTAACAAATCGCTGAAATGATTATTTGAATAGTTGCTGTTATTTTCTTTACATTTATTAGTTTTCGTTCAAGAATTTTGTAGGTCTGCAACAATCAATTTGTCAATCACCATTTTATTATTATACATTTTTCAAAAAAGACATCTATTCTCAGCCTCTAAAATATGAAGATGTCTGTTTCAGTTTTTTTTTCTATCACGGGAAACTAGAGGTGATTTTACTGTTTAAATGATTAATGGAGAAATTCATTTAAAATTTCTGTAACCTTTCTGCCCTTCCTCCTTTTGGAAGCAGATTTTCACTTCAGTCTGAAGTTTCCACACTTTATTGCTGACATGTGACAACATTTGAGCTGAGGAGAAGTCTTTTCAGACACGCTTTGTCTTTAATGTGATTAATTTTTCTAGAAACAGTCGTAGATGTGCAGATTTATGATGTACGAATGTCAGCTCCTGGATGTTTTATAGAAACCGGATTCTCGTGTTCAGTGGAGTCCACCAACTGGTGTCCATAGGTTCACTGCCGTCTCTTCTAGCATGGTGTGCTGTGGGAGCATTATTTTTGGGCTGCATGGTGTTTGTAATTTCAGGAGCACGAGTGAAAAGGCTATCGAGGTGCTGTATCATGAAGAAGAAAACAGACATGCTGGGTACTGAGTCTTTATTTTCCCTTCTACAGGCCAAAGAACTCAAAGCAGCCGGAGCGTGAGGAGAAGAGGGTTCTGGGTCTGGTTCTGCTCAGGGGGGAGAACCTGGTCTCTATGACAGTGGAGGGTCCCCCCCCTAAAGATGTAAGTGTTACCTGCAGCCAGTGAGACAGAGCTGTGGCTTTTTTCTTTTTAATGTAACATGCTCACTTGCTCCTGTTTACCTGAGAGACAAACACGGCTGCCTCCATGTTCCTGTACATATTTAACTTATTTAACTTAAAATTCCTGACCTGGGTTCAATTGCAGTTAAAAGTGGCACTATAAGTGTGTGAACTGGACAGTTTAAGCTGTTCTGGTGTGAACCAGATGTTCAGAGTGGATGGTGTCAGAGTTCATTTTCTTTAGAGAAATGCGTCACTGTTTAAATGAAGATGACAGTCTCAGGATTACAGTTGTCTTTAAACCATGCCAAAAGAAATTCAGTAAAACCTTCTTAATGACTTTTAACTTCTGTCTCTCCCTTCCCATTCAGACCGGTATAGCCCGGGTCCCGTTGGCGGGTGTGGCCGGAGGTCCAGGTGTAGGTCGGGCTGCGGGTCGTGGGGTTCCAGCAGGAGCACAGATGCCTCAGGCTCCTGCTGGACTTGCTGGACCTGTCAGAGGAGTGGGTGGCCCTTCACAGCAGGTAACCATTGCAACATCTCCTTGGTGATCAGGTGTGTGGGTGATCATGTAATAACTTCCTGTGTGTGTCCAGGTGATGACCCCGCAGGGCAGAGGGACAGTTGCTGCAGCAGCAGCAGGTGCAAGCATCGCCGGAGCCCCTACACAGTATCCACCTGGCCGAGGAGCCCCACCCCCTATGGGTAGAGGAGCCCCGCCTCCAGGTTAGGTGAACTGTGATGTCACATGTATGACATCATTCACACTGATAGATCTGATATCAGCCGATTGGTCTAGAAATGGCCCAGAGCTCCATAGCAACCAGCTGAAACACTACGCATGGGCTGATGTGCCATTTTCTTGGTACGATTTGATTCAGTCACGATGCTATTAAAAATTGAATGCCAACAGCGTATGACTGGCTACGGAATACTTGCACTTGATTCCTATTTTTCCCCTTTTCTAGCACTGGTTTGACTCTGTAAAGAACAACCACATACATTCACTTGCGTTCTGTTAGGCTATCTCAAAAATATGGAATCGCTGGTGTATGGAAATCACATGATGCGCGCGTGTGTGTGTGTGTGTGTATATATATATATATATATGTGTGTGTGTGTGTGTATATATATATGTGTGTGTGTGTGTGTATATATATATGTGTGTGTGTGTGTGTATATATATATGTGTGTGTGTGTATATATATATGTGTGTGTGTGTGTGTATATATATATGTGTGTGTGTATATATATGTGTGTG